GAACGGTCAACGAGATCGATTTAGGAGGGGCGGCATTGGAATCGCAGAGCCAAGAAGCATTACAAATAGTTCATATTTGAAAATTTTGTTTTTATCTTTAATTTATTTCCCACTACCTGTGCATATGGCCGTCACTGGTAAGCTTTAGCAAGCACATATGATAAAAATAACTCTATTATCTCTATATACAAAAAATTATCGAAAGCTTCCCCCTGATTATTATTATTACTCTTAATGTTCCTGTGATGCTTTTCAGTAAAGGTATTTGTTTTTTTATTAACCTTATCGGCGCAGATACAGTTATTAGAGATTGCGGCATATTGTTTTGATCGAATAATTTAGGTTGTTCAGATATATTTGGTGTTAAGTGTAATTGTAAATAAAATATGAAGCTGATATCAGTACCACTGAATAAAGAAATTTATACAACGGTCACACCATTAGGCACAGAAACCCAAATGTACCTGTCAATATACGACTATGTTATACCGATTCTAGGACTAACTGTGATATGTGTGAATTTTTCTGTGATTATTTCGAGTGAACTGCTAATAAAAAAAGGTATGTACCTACCTATTCAAAAGCAATGTTATGTTTTGAGCTGTGATGTCACATCATTAAAAATTGAGTGGACTACACAAAATATCCAGTATATCAAAAAAGCGTTATAGTGACCATTGAAATGACAATCGCTGATATTTCTTTAGATTGTAGGTGTTAGCATTTACTATAATGTATGACTAAAATGTAAGGTTTTTTTTATATATTTCACATTTCCTAAAAATGAAGAATAAATTTTAAGTTTCAATAAAAGCTACCTAAATTATAATTTACCCTGTATAGCCTGATATTTAGTTGAAACAATCATTGTATCTTAAACTAAATTAAAATTTGACCCGAAAAGTAATTACAGCGTGAGACAAAATTAATCTGTGTTAATATTCAGTCAGTTTTAAAAGGAAGTTCCGGTATGCAATGGAGAATGCATCTCTTCTAAATACTATAAAGGTTGTCAAACCCCTTAGACAAAGATTTTCCTAAATATTTTTATTTTTTTATTTTAGCGTCAGTAGATTTGATATAATCTAGGTGGCTGTGATACGCCTTTCGTTAATTTAAGAAAAACTAAATAATGTAGAGAAAATTATTTAGTGGTAGTAAAAGATACACGCTTGAAACATATTTTAATTGTTACAGAAATATAACTAGACATTATTATTAGGTAGATGAAATTAAATGTTCACCATCAATTAATCAGATCAATTCTGTCTGACACAAAATGATAACTAGGTATTAAAACTGAACTAATTTGACAGCTCTGTTGAAGTAACGTCAGGCATATTAGTCACCTAGATTTTATCAAATAATAAAGATCTACTGACACTATCATACCAATAAAATTTCTAATAAACTCTTTGTTTGAGGGGTACGCAACCTTAATGGTATATTAAAGAGGCATAGATTCCTCATTGAATATCGGAATAATATGCTGGGTATTCCATTTAAAATAAAGAAGTTTTTATGTAAAATAAATATTTGAAATAGAGTAAGTTGCTTTAAAAGTGATCAATGTTCGCAATATTAATTTTATCTCACCCAGTATAACTTTTTTGGTCAAATTTTAATTTGATTTAAAGTACAATGGTTATTTTAACTACATATTACGCTACACCGGGTAAATTCTGATTTAGGTAGATTTTATTGAAATTTAAAATTTGTTCTTCATTTCTCGAAGATGTTAAATATGTCAAAAACCTTACATTTCAGGCATATGCTTCTATAATAAAAGTCATCTTTATTTCTTACCAAAAGTCCGAAAATCAATTAATATATTATAAGGTGTTCCGTTTCAAAAAATAAAACTTAACATTAGAATTCTGATTTAAGCTAGAATTATTTCGAAAATAAGGATTATGAGCACGCGTATTTAGCATTGTGCTCCAGTGAATATATACCACGCAAATATGAGTTATGTAAATAGCTCTGGTCTATTTACTAAACATCTGTATTACTAAATATTAACACAATCGCAAATAAACACTATCAAAAATAAATAAAATTAATCAAGGCATTAAATTGCATTTTGTTAAAAACTGACTATTGATCACTAAAATTCAAGTTCTATGAAATTAGTTCAAATGAATGAATATGTGACATTTAAAAATATAAGAAAATTACTACTAGTAAACATAATTGTATGATCGAAAAAAAAACGGAGTCCAGTTGGATTGAAAATAACGATTGATAACATTTCCCATAATATAATTTTCCATATAAAATGACAGCGATCTTCATTTCATAGCCATTGCTGACGCCGGTTGTTTTCGATCGTATGGAATATTCTAAATATTTTATTAACCACTTCCCTAATTCCCAATATGTTAAAATTTTATACAGGGTCCGGTAATAGTGCGTCGGGCATCTGTAGCTCTCTCTCTCTTCAGTCCTGACCCCCATTAGGGAGTGTAGTAGTCAGCGTAACATCATGGATGATTTTTCTCCATGCACCTCTACCTTTTGTCATCTCGATGACATCGTGCATTGGCTTGCTACAGCTAGTCGTGATCTGGTCTGTCCAGCGAGTAATCTGTAGCTCCTAGAATAAAAAAACTTGAGAATTTTGTTTAAGTGCAAAACTAAAGTATGTAACAGGATGTACATATTTCAGGAAAATATTTTAACTTCTATAGGGTGGCTCAAAAAGTGTGAGTGGACCTGGATGATTTTTTTTAAATGGAACACCCTGTATACTATTGCATTTTTGGCTTGCTTTCAGATCACTTTACATAACCCTAAGATATGAATATATATTTCGATAGTCTCAGAGATATTAAAAAATAAATCAAAAATATACATATATTTTTCAGCCCTTATTAAAAAAATTATTAAAAATACAAGAACTGTTTTGAAATCAAAACTATATTAGGTATTTACTTTAGATGGTCTGTTCTTACTTTACTATAAATATGGTAATCGTAAATCATACAGGATGTTCAATATTCTACGCCAAACTTTCTAAAATATAAAATATTTTTTCTTTGTTTTATTTTAAATGGGACATCCTGTATATTACTTTTTTATTAGATGGAGAGTTTAAAAATGAACATTTTTTGTATTTAGAGTATTTCAAAAATTTTAACGGTTTCGCAGACACACGCAGTATTATTTCATATGGCGCTTTCAATGGTAAAATACGAAAGAAAAATCATTAGATGATTTTGATAAAAATTTACTGTGGAAAATGCCATATGAAATATAAAACCGCAAATATCTGCGAAACCATTAAAAATTTTGAAATACTCTAAATACAAAAAATGTTCATTTTTTAATTCTCCGTCTATTGAAAAAATAATATACAGGGTGTTTCATTTAAAAAAAAACGAAGAAAAATTATTTTATATTTTAGAAAGTTTGGCGTAGAATTTTGAACATCCTGTATAATTTACGATTTTCATATTTATAGAAAAGTAAGTACAGACCATCTAAAGTAAATACATAATATAGTTTTGATTTCAGAACAGTTCTTGTATTTTTAATATTTTTTTTTAAGAAGGGCTGAAAAATATATACTTTTGATTTATTTTTTAATATCTCTGAAACTATCGAAATATATTTATTCATATCTTAGGGTTATGTAAAGTGATCTGAAAGGAAGCCAAAAATGCAATAATATACAGGGTGTTCCATTTAATAAAAATCATCCAGGTCCACTCACACTTTTTTCAGCCACCCTATAGAAGTTAAAATATTTTCCTGAAATACATACTGGTACATGCTTTAGGTTTGCACATAGACAAAATTCTCAAGTTTTTTATTCTAGTAGCTACAGATGTACGACGCACTATTGCCGGACGCTGCATTTTGAATTTGTAATATATACCGGGTGCGTCTCAAAAGTGGCTCACCTAAGATGAACCTAAGATTAATTGAAACTATATCTTCTTACAGGTATTGAACCTCGATTTACCTATCTCTTTCTTGGAAATATGGCCGTTAGCGACTTTATTAGTGGCTTATCACTTCTGGTTGGACAATATTATCCCAAACAATATAGAAACCAACAGTCTTGTGCAATACAAATGGGTAAAGATAAACTCATAATAATTATTTTCTTACCTTACTAGAGTGCTTATTGAAAAAAAAAATAATAACAATCTATTTCAGGATTGATCATAACAAGTACACTATCTTCAGCTTATTCAGTGGGTCTATTAGCTGTAGATAGGTTTTTATATATAGTATATGGGCTAAAATACAGCAAATGGCTTAGCGTTTCTAAAGTAAAAAGGCTCGTTTTAACTACATGGACCATATGTAAGTATTGTAGTTCAACTTAAAGAAAAGTTATTTTCAATATAATTTATTAATTTTCAGCAGTAATTATAGGCTTCATGCCCGTTACAGGGTGGTATGGTGATACAGATAATGGTAAAATCTGCTGGTTTATCACAATAGCTCCTCATCCACTTATCATAATCACAGTCTTCATAGGCCTAATACCTATACTTACAGTCCTAATTCTGTACTCCATAATACTGTATCACGCAATAAAAAGCATTAACCGAATTGAAAATTCTATGAAAACCATTAACACAGTTTCAGAAAGCATTGATGAACCTGGACAATTGAGAATGTTTAAAGGTACAACTGAACTCCATATACAACCTCCAAAAAGCAAGAGGAAAAATTCTAACGGACCAGTTCCAAGCAAGTGTAAGGCAGTGAAGATAGTAATGCTGACTACTTTTGGGTTTACGATAACTTGGGCCCCATTTTTTATAACTTGTGTTATTTTTGTAGTAAATGAGTGTGATATGAGTGATTGTAGACCACTATGTAGGAAATTAAAACTTTTAATAGCTAGTCCATTAAGTCTACTAGGATTTAGTAATAGTTTAATTAATCCTATTATTTATGCTTGGTGGCATAATGGTTTTAGAACATATGTCAGAGAGAATATTAAAAAAATATGTATATATAAATAAATTATTTCATCTTACTTTGATTTTCATTAAAATCTTCAAATCCATGCTCTGTACTTTTGCCTTCTGTAGTAACTATGATTTTTTCATTATTCCACTGATTCTGTATTGCAGAATAATTTTTCACTGTATGAATGGCATCAGAACAATAATTCCCATTTGCTGAGGGTAATCTTTGAGCAACCGAGTACAGATTGTTTTGATTAACATTTCCATTATCTGTTGCTAAATACTCATCTCTAGAAAACTATTCATGCTACTGTTCTCAAATTATCAGTAATAATATTATTACCTGTATTGATCATTCATATATTCCGTAGTTTGTGAATTATAAAGTCTGTTTCTGTTGGAAAAATCAACTGGTATTACTGTAACATTGTAGCTGTTTGATTGAATTATTATCTCTTGAGTGTCTTTAGAATCCTTGCTGTTTCCATTGTCCATTGTGAATACCTAAAACAATGAGAAAAAACGAGCCAAAAGCTAGAATGTACCACACAATGGATTTTTTTAGTGAAATCAATAGTAAAAGATGTTGCGCAGTTTTGATTATTAAATGAAGTATGAAAATCACTTACCTGGAAAGTATTTTACATATTCCAGGGCTTCCATTCATATTTTTAGCCTAGTTTAATTCATGTTTTACAGAAAACAGGAACCAAAAATCCTTTGATGTTTATTGTTTTGACGTTTGAGAAAATTAGGTTATGTAGGATAGGACATAAATTTTAAAAGAATGTTTACGTTTTCAATTTTTCCTACATGTTTATTTATTACTTTATTAGGTATACCCTTAGGGTATACCCTTTATTAAAAATAAAACAACCATTGTTGATTTTTTTGGTATAATTTATGGTTATTAAAAAAATAAAATAAATAAAAAAGGAACGACGAGGATGGGATTCGAACCCACGCGGGCAGAGCCCATTGGATTAGCAGTCCAACGCCTTAACCACTCGGCCACCTCGTCATGTTGAAGTATTTCTCTTGCCATGTATTTTAGAGAAAAATATAAAATTTCTTTTAAAAGGCCCATTTTTTAAAGACAATAAAGAATACATCAAAAAATATAAGCATACATATCTTAACTAAGGCTCTTAGAGATTCATGTCTTTCAATTTGTAAAGGAAAAGATAGATATGCAAAGAAATCAATTATTTTTTTAATTAAAGTGTCATATAAAAGCGGTCAAATTTTTCCACCTTTTCAAATGCCTGATGAATGCCTGTTAGTTTGGAATTAATTTGACGTTCGTTTGGACGTTACTATGGCAACCTGGAAAAGAAAGTGCAAGCAAAACAAAACATCCAACCGATCTCTGAACCGATTGGCGCTTCCTTTTCAATATGTTCCTGTGCATGTTTCGTAGTTTTTTTTACCAGCCTTCCCACATAAAACCGCTCCAGATAAAATGAGTAAGTACTCCTAATTCTAGACCTATTTTTTTCAGATATGTTAATATTTATTAAGTGTGCCATTTAATATAGGTAATTTATTTAAAAAAATTGTCGTTAGAATAAGCGCAAGGTGTCTTCTGTTGACCTATAGCTGGGTATAACGGAACCAGATTTAATTTATAGAAAAAATATACCTACCTACTTGTTATGAAAATACTTTTGGAAAGCTACGAAACGATACCTACTAAAGGAATGTTAAGTGTGTTATTATTGATTATATGCGTGCATGATCCCATATTTTAAAGTAATATTTCATGCAACATATTTTACGTACAAATAACAAATTTTTATTTATAGAAGTTTATTAAATATCTATATATGATACAAAAATCAGTATAGCTATAAAGACTAAGACGATATTTATAAAACTATAATGCGATTAAAAAAGAAACGGTGTCATAGTGGCCTAAGTGACAGTTTAGATGACAATAAAAATAAAAAATCCGGACAATCCAAACTTAAAAATCGATTTGTTCCTGGAAACAATAATATTTAAAAAATCGCGTATAGGGAAGTGCCTGACAGAATAGATTATCATTCCAAAAGATAAGTTTTCTTCTCGAACATATTGGACGTATCAGGTATCACGAGTGTATGCAGGAATTTATTTCAGGGGGGTCCAAATAAAAAGTAATGTAGATAATATGCTTTTTAGGGCGCCATTTTTATCCCAAAAGTAAACCAAAAGCCTAATATTTAACCCAATTTAGGGGGTTCGGGCCCCATGGACCTCCCTCTGTATGCGCTGCTGGTTATACCTATACCAGTGGCGGATCATTGTTTATACAGAGTGAGTTTTAAAATAAGTGCAAATATTTTCAGGGCTGGTAGATTTCGATAAAAGAAACATATTTTCTCTTTACCGTTTTTCAAATAAGCCCAAATAACCGAGTTATTATTTACTTTGAAAATTTCCAAGAAAAATTACTTTTGTTTAAATTTTGAGTACCACTGGATCTTTACTAGGTTTTCTTTCTTGTAAATTTAATACTACTACCTATATTGTCAAATAAGTCAAAAATATGTTTTTTAACTACAAACTGAATAAATTTCCAAAATTTATTTTCAAAAATTCCAATTTTTTTTGCTAAAATAACCTTCATAATCGTATTTCTATGGTCGAAATGAAAATTTCCAAGAAAAATTACTTTTGTTTAAATTTTGAGTACCACTGGATCTTTTCTAGGTTTTCTTTCTTGTAAATTTAATACTACTACCTATATTGTCAAAAATATGTTTTTTTAACTAAAAACTAAACAAATTTCCAAAATTTATTTTCAAAAATTCCAATTTTTTTTTGCTAAAATAACCTTCATAATCGTATTTCTATGGTCGAAATATAATACTCCTTAAAATATTTGCACCTATTTAAGATTCACCTTGTATATACAGGGTGCTACAAATTCGAGGTACGAGCATTGGTATCTCGGAAAACGTAATAGATACGAAGATGGTTAAATTGGAGCAAAGTTGCGCCTTGAGATGTTCACCAAGATGCCATCAAAAAAGTTTTTAAAATTGCAAGGATTGCTGAGTTTTTTCGAAAAAACGGATTTTTTTGAAAATCAATTTTATTTTTTCCTATCGTTACTTTTTAGAAAATCAAAAAACTAATTCCACATTCTCACAGCCACTTTATTAGGGCTATCTGATAGTATTTTTAGATTTTCAAATTAGACGATAATTTGTGAGATACAGAGGCCAACTTATATTTTTAAATACGGACCTGCATCTTTTATACCAAGTTTTGAAAGAACTCGGTCTCCTGAGTACAATGATATACCACACTTATAGATTTTTTTTTTGTTTTGGGTACCTTAATAACAACAAAACTATTTAATTATAATTTAAAATAATTTCAAGTCCAACTATGGTTTTTGAAATTATTTAATCTGCTTATATTATATTCATCGCAACAATATTGATCAACGCTAATTAGCAATTCAATAATTAATTAACAAATTCAAATAAATAATATCCAGGTTAGCAAATTAAAGATATTATTTTTAACTTTTTTTACTGTGAATTTGAAATCTCCGTGTACGATCTAATAATTTGCGTAATATTAATCCTCGTTATTATAAATTAATTAACTTCTACTAACTAGTTTCTAGTGCTCTACACGTTCGAAAGGGTTATAACCCTTCCTATTGCACACATTTATTTTTCGTTCAATTTTATTTATAGCTCTTGGGACAGATCTTCTTCTTATATTTCTGAATGCATTTTGTACTCTTTATTGTAAATGCTGAGATGTATTGATTTCACACCAGGGGCGCATATACGGGAGGGGTAATGGGGGTATATACCCCTCCCAGGAAGAAATTTATGAATGAGAAAATTTGGTATAAATTAAAATTGTCACAAAATAAATTAATAATATCAATCAAAATAGAAATCCAGAACAATCTAGGTTTATTTTTTTCCATAGTCACAATACCTTTAAGCAAAAATTTAATTTAAATCTATTACTTTATTTAAATATTGCCACTACCCCTCCCAGACTCACTCTCTGGATGCGCCACTGTTTCACACACACATATTATTTATTTTATATTATTTTTTATTATTTTATTGCATTTGATTTTCCGTATTCAATGTTTTCTCTACGTCATTGTTAAGTTTGAAAGCTTATCTCAATATTGGAACGATGAATATTAAATATTTAAAAAATAGAGAGCCGGACTTGAAATTAGTTTAAATAAGTTGTGCTCAAATGTCCAAAATAAAAACAAAGTATTAAGTGTGGCATATCATTGTACTCAGGAGACCGAGTTCTTTCATAACCTGAAATAAAAAATGCAGGTCCGTATTTAAAAAATTAAGTTGGTCTCTGTATCTCACAAATTACCAGCTAATTTGAAAATATAAAAATACTATCAGATAGCTCTAATAAAGTGGCAATGAGAATGTGCAATTAGTTTTTTGATTTTCTAAAAAACAACGACAGAAAAAAATAAAATTAATTTTCAAAAAAAAACCGTTTTTTCGAAAAAACTCAGCAATTCTTGAAATTTTTAAAACTTTTTTGATGGCATCTTGGTGAACATACCAAAGGCGCAACTTTGCCCCAATTTAACCATCTTTGTATCTATTACGGCTACCGAGATACCAATGCTCGTACCTCGAATTTGTAGCACCCTGTATAATATACTATACAAGGGTATAATACTTAGTTATTAACTTTAAATTAATCTAGTAATTCTGGAGGCAATGGCGGAGGTTCAGGAGCTGCATTAGACTGATTTTTTCCAGTATATGTTCCAATCAGCCACACTGTGTAAGTCTTAGAATTCCCTTCGAATTTTGAATCTATCGAATGCCCAGTTTGTAGAAATCTCAAAGGTAACAGTAGCAGCAACTAAAAAATACCGATCTAATATCTAATCCATAACAAAAAATGGTTAAAAATTATTATAATAGAGATTTTGATTCAAATTATTTTGATTAAAATTCACCAACATAATAGTTTTCCATCCAAATAAAAAATTTGACACTAATGGTCAAAGGTATTATTATTATTATATTACTTACTTCCAAAAAAACTACAAGAAAAAGATATCCAATTATGCTCAAGCCGACTTGTCGTTTCTTTTCGATCACTCTCGTATAACAGCCTGTTGTAGAGATACTCAGGTTGAATTCGGGGGTGTACATGTAATTGCGGCCTGTTTTTTCTATGTCGTAATGAATACAGGGTAAGTTAGTTCTCATTGCGCAACAGCTAAAGGGCGTTTGATCAGCAGAACCTGTGCTAGTACTTGAAAGAAAGAAATATAAATATAATCTGAGATAAATATCATCAGGCCAAAAATTAGCAACATTGAAGGCATTTTCTCTGGCCAGTAACAGGTCGTCAAGCATACAGGAAACTGAACATTGAGGGCAGTTATAAAAAATACTATACTATATTCACAGAAGTGTAGCGAGTTTAAGGGAAGAAGTTACTATAAGTGCTACATATTTTAATGCTAAAAAAGTGTCTACAGATTCGCCAGGGACGTGCATATATCACATGGTCATGGTTATTAAAGGAATATTTTTCTAAAAAAAGCATGTGCGCTACTGACCTTTTACTCTTGTTAGCAAAATTGTGTAGACTTATTAGCAAAATTGTGTGTTATTATTACTAAAAGTTATGTCTTATTATTAATAAAAGTTTTGTCTTATGCTATTTTGACGATTTCGATTTCCTTGACGAGATAAACGCAATTTTAAGTTTTAACATTCTGTAACTTTAAAACTAATTATATATGCATCTTCACATTCATTTAACACTTTATCCACTTAATGAAATGATTTTTTTGCCAAGAATGCCAATAAAATACATATCTCATTAAATTAAGAAGACAGAAATCGACAAAAGTCAGTGACGCACATTTTTATCTAGAAAAATATTCCAATAATAATCCATATGCCCTGGTGAACGTCTACACTTTTATAGCATTAAAATATGTCGCACTTATAGTAACTTTTACCCTTACCAAAATTTTATTCGAATCACTAAAAGCACTTGTAAGAAATTAAGTCGAATAAAATTGAAGGCTACCCCTATAGCTAGAACCTAAGCATAATCGGACATATTATATTGATATAAAAAATAAATCTTATTTTTATGCCAGAAATCTTTTTGAAACACCCTATGTATAGTTGTAGTCATAGGTATAGTTGTAGTCATACCCCGTATATAAAATTTTATAGGAAGAAATGCACATTCAATATACAGGGTGGTCCGAATTGTATTCGGGAAACTTCGGCAGCATATTCTGGACGTAAGAATACCTAAGTAAAAAATGTTTTTTAATTTTATTTGGGGTTTTTCCAAATAATTTCTGATCTATACTCGATATTTGGATGAAAATTGGTGTCTGGAAGTTTTATCGGCATAAGAAACTTGATTTTGATGTCAATATAACTGCTACTTGTAGGGGATCCACCTATATGTTCCTTAACTGTTTTAATGAAAGGGTAACAACTTTTCGTCCGTACCTGTACAAAACTACTGAGTAAAAAAATGTGCATTTTTGCCGTATTATACGTAAAAAAGGCCTCTTGCTATCATACACATAGAAATCACATCACACCCTTTTACGTAGAAAGGAAATATTTATTTCGTCACTCAGTAATTTTATACAGGTACGGACAAAAAGTTATTACCCTTCAAAACAGTTAATGAACCTGTAGTTGGCGCCCCCTACAAGTAGGAATCATATTGATATCATAATTAAATTTCTCAATCTGAAACAACTCACTGACAGGAATCAGAAATAAAACTTCTACACTTTGTATCTCCGAAACAAATTAGTTTAAGACATGCTAAAGGGACATGCATTTATAATTACCTAATAACTTCCAAGAGTCTTGCAAGACTAGGACTAAGACTGGACCCTCCAAGACCAAGACTAAAACTACTTATTAGACTACGGCCAAGACCAAGGGTGCCTTGTTCTTGGCCTTGCCATTTGCTCATCAATACTCCCATATACCAGGTGCGTCTCAAAAGTGGCTCACCCCTATAACTTTTTTTTAGATAAAAAAAGAGATTTGGTATGTAGTATATGACATAAATTATGATTGATTGACGTATTATTGTTTTTGGTCACTTCCTGTTTCCCCGGAAATGACTACAACTTTTGATTTATAAATGGCACCCTCGGTATATTTTTACTTTATTCGATAGAAAATGACACTGTGGATAGAATAACATATCATATGTCAACTTTTGACATTTTCGCTTTAAAAAATCGTATTTTAAATTTAAATCTATAGTGCCATGGCTCTGTTAAAAACACTAATTGTTATTCAAGGAGCTTTGTAAAAATATATTTAGTCGTCTAATGTTTTTCATGTCTTGTCCTGGTCGCTTAAAAGATGCCCAAATCGTATTTTTATTAATATCTCAATTTTTTCAAATGGAACAAGGGTGGCCCACAGGGGCGCAGATACGTGTATGCTATGGGAGTGGTACTATGATTAAGTCGCAAAAAAAATCACCGTCGGAATTTTTTTGTCGAATTAAAACGACGGCGATTTTTTTGTCCTCAAAAAGATATAAAAACATAACACAAAAATTAAAATATAGATTTGTAAATAACATAAACAAAAATGAAACAACGACGTTTATTAGTTAATTTTCTATAAACTATAAATAAAAAACTCTAAACTATCAAGAAAAAACTATAAAAACTATAAACTATAAATAAAACTACAAAACAAAATCAAGTTTTCTAGTACGCTGTTTGGAAAACCTATCAATTACAGCATCAACATTTATTTCAATATCTTTATGGATATTGATTAGAGTTAACCCCACTAATCTGTCCTGGCCAATAAGAACACTTTGTATGCTTTTAATTAGGTCGAACATATTATAAACGATAAATCAACATAATTAAAAGCATACAAAGTGTTCTTATATGTCGGATATTAATTAAAAAAAATCCTTTCATAGTTAATGACTATTTCAATTCTCGTATCTCGTCAAGCGTCAGGGGGGGGGGTACTGTCCCCCAGTACCCCCCCCCTCTACGCCCTTGGTGGCTCATTAGCATATTTGGAAAAAGCATTTTTTACGAATAATTTGGTACCACACACTTGATATTTCGAATCAAATTGTTGGTATGAACGGCATGTTACAATTTCAAATAAAGCATATGCGAAAATCTTGAAAGTTGACATATGATATGTCATTCTATTCAGAGTGCCATTTTCTATCGAATAATATAAAATATATCGAATATATAAAATATATCGAATATATAAAATATATCGAATATATTAAAATATCGATGGTGTCATTTAAAAATAAAAAGTTCTAGTCATTTTCGGTGAAACAGGAAGTAACCAAAATTTATGTCATATACTAATATACCAAGTCTCGTGAAAAAATAAAAAAGTCATAGGGGTGAACTACTTTTGAGACGCACCCGGTATATCTGATATCTTTCTGATAGTAATTTTAAAGTAGTTATTCTAAAAGATAAATTAGTTAAGCTTACTTTGAAGAGACGTCTTTATCAAACCATGTAATATTATACCATTCGTCGTATTTTTTACTCCCACAACACTGGAATTCTATTTGTAACCTATCCATTTGGATTTTATAGTATGAATTAACGGCATATTTTTTCATAGTCTCTATAATACCATCGTGCAATTTTTCATGAGCTCCGTATGCGTGTCCCAGAGTGATAAATACCACCAATACAGTGCTAACAACCTAAGAAGTTGATTATAGAGAAAGCTTTTAATTTCAGGAAGAGGATTTTAGTCAAACTAAACATAATACTCACCAACACAAGTATTAGTAATATAAGTATGAATAAAATGCTGTTCGCACCTGGACTCTTCTTTTTCGAAAAAAGTTTGTACACAAAGAAAAATGCCCCCAAGTTTAAGCACAAAAAAACAAACGTAGGTAATGCCAACATGGTGGGTAATATTTCTCCCTCACCACTAGATATCATGTTAATAAACGCACCCAAATGGCTTCTTATCTTGATTGCAGTAATCAAACAATTAACAGATAGTATCGTTATAATCAAAATCAGTATTACTGCGACGGTAACCAGCAATTTTATTCTTTTAAAGTTGATCTGTAAGATCGGTTTTCCAAATCTTACTATGACATCTTCTTTGCTAGAATGCTTATCTTTAGGTTTTGTTTTATCTTTTTTAGGTTTGGAGTCATCAACCTTTTTCTTGTTTTTGATTTTACTTTTTAAAGACTTCATTTTAAATGTAATTGTAATTTATACTTGACAATATAATGACAGGTTTTATTTTAGAATTTCAAATAAATAATATTTACTTACAAAATAGATTACTAAAACTGTTATATATTTTTCTAACATGTTTAGGGGAAAGCAATCTTTTTAATGACCATAACCCTGGCCTGGCAAAAATCTATTCCCTTAGCCTCAGAATAATATTAGCATTGCTTAACCCTTCGGCCGTGACAATAACACGGGGCCCTAGACAAATGACAGGGCCTTCAGATCCCTGTCCATATTTGTGACAGGAAACGATAATATACCCCACCGTGCAGATTGTTCTCGTCCCTGACCAAGTAAATCTGACCCACATTTCTTTGTCCGTTGGAATGGACAAACACGTCGGACACACGCAAAGTTACCCATATTCCGCATTTAGTCTTAAGGATGTATTTTGCCAGTAAATATCGATAGCTATATCTATAAATATCATAACGTACCAATATACAGGGTGGCGCACCTCATTCGCCGCGGTTGATTATACGAAAACGGAAAGACGTAGAAACAAAATATTTTATGGGTATATGTAGAGAGGCAATGTGCATAATTTAAAATTATTTTAAAATGTACAGGGTGTGCCAGAACTAAGATCCATGCCAAAGTTATATTTTTTCTTATGGAACACCCTGTATTTTATTTAATTTTTGGAATCTTGGGCATAAAATAAGGCATTTATTATAAGGGTTTAATATGTTTAAATGTTATTTAAACATATATAAATATGCATGCTATAATAAAAAAATTGTCAACACACCCTGTACATTACTTTTCAGAGTTAATTCTTGTGCTGACTTTGAAGCCAGAGAAATAAACTTAAACTAAAAAATGTTATTGCTTCCTTAAATATATACAGGGGTATCAAAAATTGCTGGGCTATTTTAAATATTAATTTTACATAAAAACTTCGTTATTTCAAATACAACACTATGTATTTTTTTAAATAAGTCGAAGCAGATTTAAATGCTCTCAAACTATATTAGGGTTTCCTATACCTATCTGGCTCAGATTTTGAATAAAAAGCGATTTTTTAATAAAATGGCAATCAAGAGGGCTGGTGTCGCCATGGCAATTTGCTAGTGACAATTAGTAGCTATTTTCAAAACCGACATTACTTGATGGACTTTATTTAAATTTATAATAGTTTACTTTTATTTAATTTAACTAGAGTAGTTTAATAAGTAAGTATTTATTATTTTATCAAGAAAAATAAAGTAGCTCTTTAATTTATATTACGATGACTTGTAGATATATTGGATTTTCTATAAAAGTTTCTATAAAATTTTCAAGCCAAACCAAACCCGAACCAATTAAGGCAAATTCATTTTCTTCACTTCCAACGACAGGTTTCTGCCTAATAGCTTTTTTATAAACCACATTACCAGCTCTGCGAAATAGTAAAAAAAGTATTTCGAAAAAACTCTTGTCAAGAAAATTTATATTTGGAAATCTTTGAGCATAAACCCTGCAGGCCATCCAGAGGCCAACAAGCAATTGTCCTCACAAAATAAAATCACTAGTAACATATCCATCGTCCTTCCGCCAGCAGATACTGCTTCATTTTTCTTGATAAAATAATAAATACTTACTTATTAACCTTATTGTAGGCAAATTTAATAAAAATAACCTGTTATAAATTTAAATAAGGTGCATAAACGAATGTCGATTTTGAAAATAGCTACTAAGTAAGTGTCACTAGAAAATTGCCATGGGGACATCAGCCATCTTGATTACAGTTTTAATGAAAAATCGCTTTGTATTCAAAATCTGAGTCAGGTATGTATAGGAAACCCAAATATAGTTTGAAAGAGCATCTAAATCTGCCTCGACTCATTTAAAAAAAATACATAGTATTGCATTTGAAATAACGAAGTTTTTATGTAAAATAAATATTTAAAATAGACCAGCAATTTTTCATACCCCTGTATACATTTAAGGAAGCAATCGAATTTTTTAGTAAAGTTTATTTCTCTGGCTTGAAAGTCAGCACAAGAATTAATTCTGAAAAGCAATGTACGATGGTGTTGATAAACTTTATTATTATAGCATGCATATTTAAATATCTTTAAATATCTCAAAAACCAAAGCTTTTAAACAAATTAGACCCTGATAATAAATGCCTTATTTTATGTACAAGAATCCAAAAATGAAATAAAATACCAGGTGTGTGTGTGTGTTCCGTAAGAAAAAATATAACTTTGGTATGGATCTTAGTTCTGACACATCCTGTACATTTCAAAATAATTTTAAATTATGCACATCGTCTTCCCACATATATCCATAAAATATTTTGTTTCTACATCTTTCCGTTTTCGTATAATCCACCGAGGTGAATGAGGTGCGCCACCCTGTATTAGTATCCAAAATATTATACTATACAGAAGGACATATCATCAAGATATTTTGTTTCATTCTTACTACGGTGCATACCTGAATGATCCCCAATCATTTGCGATCATGTTTTTATATAACAAACATTGCTTACAAAAAACGTACATCGATATTCAACCCCATCCCTACTTGAACTGTAATATATGGAAGGTTATTGGGTTTTCATGTTGGAGTGTCCAAAAATAGGCGCTTTTAGCGCTTGAATTAATATTCGTCAAAAGTTGTCCTCGTCTTGCCAGACGAATACTTAATGCGTCTGGATAAACTGGAATCGCTTTAAAATGCTAATTGTATCGAATTTTGAACCATTTGGTTGAAATAGGAAAAATAAATATGAACCCAGACGTCGCGTCGTTAGTTTTTCTAATCTACATCTAATCCTTCTAAGACATTGGACGCTATTATTATATAAGGGACAGGACACATTTTTTTTTGTCCCATGCAAACGTATTTTTACTAGTATTCTATAACTATACCGAGTGCGTCTCGAAAGTGGCTCACCCTTATAATTATTTTATTTTCTCAGATAAAAAATCGAAATTTGGTATATTAATATATGACATAAATTAGAATTCATTGACGTATTCAATTGTTTTCTGTCACTTCTTGTTTCACCGGAAATTACTTCAACTTTTGATTTTTAAATGACACCCTCGGTATATTTCTGCTTTATTCGATAGAAAATGACACTCTGAATAGAATGATATATCATGTGTCAACTTTTGACATTTTCGAATATGGTTTATTTGAAATTTCAACATGCGATTCATAACGATAATTTGACTCGAAATACCAAGTGTGTGCTACCAAATTATTCGCAAAAAATGCTTTTTCCAAGTATACTAATTAGCCACCCTCATTTCATTTGAAAAAATTGAGATATGATTAAAAATACTATTTGGGCATCTTTTAACCGACCTGGACAAGACACGAATAACATTAGGATGATCCAAGGACTGTATATATTCTAAAGGACTGTTCGATCGCGTCAAATCGCTGCTATCGTAGTCACCCTGGATGCTTACGTCACGCAGGGACCAGCGCTCCACAGTGCGGCGGATGGTTATTCTAGCGGGACAAAATCTCAGGAGCGATATTATGGTTGGTTGATAAAAATTTATCGAAATACAAAGAATATATACGACCAAAAAATAATTCATGCATTTTTTCATATCAATTGGAATGTCTACTATTTATTCTTATCAGTACACATTTTTGGCTTATTTCTAACCAAACAGTTTTATCTCGCTAGATTTATCTTCAGCCGCACTGTGCGCTTGTCCGTCAAACGCAAAAATAAGTGTCACTGTCTAAAATCTTTAGCGCGAACTTCAACTCGGTCCCTAGAAAACGTAAAAAACTGACAGTACAGGAAGATAGGAATCGAACTATCTTTATCTCTATAGTATCCTTGAGGATGATCAAATCTATTTTTCCAAGGCTCCAATGGTGCCATTTAAAAATAAAAAGTTGTAGTCATTTCCGGTGAAACAGGAAGTGACAGAAAACAATTGAATACGTCAATCAATCCTAATTTATGTCATATACTAACATACCAAATCTCGTTTTTTTATCGGAAAAAATAAAAAAGTTATAGGGATGAGCCACTTTTGAGACGCACCCGGTAGCATATTCATATTCTGCCAACGTAATACGATATTCGGCTAAAGTCGCAAGCGTTCGAGCCTAACGTTTGCAGAATATGATTACATTGAACTAACGTTGGCAGTTTATACGGCTAAACAAGAGATTCAACAAAAATTACTTGGCAATCTACCACGACTGTTGGAAAACCACCGTTGGAAAAATCTAAAAAAACATATTTAGACGCTCTTACCATTGTCATTTTGAAGTTAAACATCGCGTACAACAAAAAAGTATCGTAATGTCCTACAAAAATGAGAATTTTAATAGAAAAGCCCATGGATACTGCAAATACATGGCCTTGTGTTGTGATTTTTTACGAAGAACATAATCACACAATAGAGAGCGGAGCAGCCTTCTTAAAAAGACCTATAGGCAGCGAAACAAAAAAATATATTTTCGAGCTATTTGAGAAGAGACATACTACTGCAACTACCTATCACCCATTCGCTAGTATTAAGATGGAAGAAATGGGCGACAAGTACGAAGAAATGATTTTATACCGGCACTTTTTTCCAACTAAAACCGATTTTTCAAAATTATGGACGGCACATTTCAAAAACAACTATGGAGAACGAACTGGAGAAGGCATGCTCTTAGCTTTAGAAAATAACTTTGAAAATTATTCGCGTTGGTGATAATTATGCGATCTGTTTATGCGTACCAATAATGCAACGAGCTGCTCAGTACCTTACACAGGCAACAGAAATTTTATTTGGTGATGCATCAGGAAACTGCGACGTGCAAGACCACAAGATTTACTTTTTTGCAACGCTGTCTCCAGCAGGGGGCATTCCAGTTGGGTGTATCATTTCTAGTAATCAGAAACAAGAATTATTTGACGAAGCCGTTAAGAATTTAAAGGCAATCATGCTTCAGAAAGTTTCTCCAAAAATAATATTAACCGACGATGATCTCAGTGAAAGAAG